TCATATCTGGAGCCGGCTTATCCTTTCCAAGAAACCAACCGCAGTAAAGTAATTGATCCGATACGCCCTTCAGGTTTTTAGCTATTCCGAACAATGTGTGAACCATATTATATTATTGATCCAAGGATATAAACGGCTCGACCACCGCGTCCCGGGTGCTGATTAATCGTCTGATTGATAGATCAGTGCTGACATAGCGTATTTTTATTACACAATTAAATACAATGAAACGGGTAAACCCCATAATCCAAAAGCCTCAGTTTGGTCGGGGATGAGTGTCTACGGGCTATAACCGGGTTGGTAGACCACTGGTATTTCACCTAAGGGAGTTGGCCAAAACCCTGATTCGAAACCAACCCAGAGAAGGTGTACGAACCACACATACAACTTCCGGTTGTGGCGGTTGTTATCACCGGCTCTACTGGGCATTGAGGTGTATTGAGCACGTTGGACGTTTGAACCCGTCCACAGTGCGTACGATCCGATGAACTGGACACGGGCCTCCAATGGATTGCTGTTTTTATACACCGCCCCGCTGCCTCGTGGATCAGGTGGAGGGGTGGAATTTGCACGCACACAGGTCAATGTGTAAAGGATGGGTGCTATCAGACGGAATATTGCCAGCATGATGATGCTTCAAATTCCCCCCCTCCACCTGATCCACGAGGCCGCGGGGCGGTGTATTTGTAGAGCGAGAGGGAATTAACGACGGTAAAGAGGGGTCGGATCAAAGTTTCGGGAGAAACTGATGAAGAAGCGGTTACCGCAAATGCTAAAGTTAGTGGTGTAAAAACCATTAGGATAAGAGAGGTAATAACGTGAATAGGGTTCAGAGTCGAAGGGAGAAGGTCATCAGTCAAGATCGGAAACAGTGAACGAGAGAGTACAGAACCATGGGGGTCACCAGCATTCAGAGACACAAAACGAGACATCGTCCCATCTACTCAAACGGAGATGCATTTGTAATGGAGATAGCTTGTTGTCCACGACTTGGGTCCTAAATGAAAGCCAAACTTTGATATTTTATCTAACAGACCTGCGTGCCAGATACGATCAAAAAAGCTTCTGGTTTCTCCGTCGTTGTCGAGTGCTGCGGACATTGTGTGCGAAATGACCGTCAGAAGGTCACCGGTAAATCGATGGTAAGGGAAATTGTACTGACGGTCACCAAGCCTATTCTGCTCCAGGTGGTGACGGAGTTGATCGACAATAACTGATTCGGTCAGCTTCGAAATAATTGTGCTTGAGAGAGAGTGAGATGGGGCGGGATGTGTGAACTGCATGTTCATCGTCATTCTGAACGCGGGACGCAATGAAACATAAACTCTGAGGAATGAAGTAGCTAATCAACTAAGACCTCTGCCGAATAGGTGGTGTGATATCCGTTGGTCTACAGCAAACTTATCTACCACTACAACGATACTGTTCGATCCTGTGATTCGTTGCACTTCGGTTACCCCTACTTAACCGCTTCACAATCATCACCCCCCTCTCGATCCTGTCCTTCTTGAGATTGTTTTCATCTTTGTGTTTCTCGATTGTCTCTCATTTCAGTGTTTCTGTGGTATCTAGTGTGAAGTTGTGGTTATTAATTTTACCACACACTATGACGTAGCTATTTGGACGCCTGATATAATTCGTGCAGTATGCGTACAGAAGAAATAGTATCTCCACTCATTTCTTTGGATGGTTACGCATATTAAAGATTCGCATCGATCATTGTTTGAAAACTAGCATACGACTATGGTAACAAACCACCCGGAGAATAGTTTAATCACTTTTGGAGAGGACCGAGGGAAATCGAAAAATATGTATGAAGTGGTTTCCGCTTCCTGTAAAATGGATGGGGATAGTTTTGGCGTATGACTTGCAGGAAGTCAGTACCAGGAATAAGTTTATGGAAGTTAATGTAGTCTGAGAAAGAAGGTTTCAAATGAAAATCATGTTCTTTTCGTGCAGAATTATTCCTCGGTGATATCAGTTCACAAAGCTTTCAGACGAGTACCTGTCGCCTTGGAATAAGATACTTTTCTCTTTCAGTCATAATCCGTACTAATCACGTTCTAATTCCTTATCACTGCGGCTTTTTATGCAGGCCAGAGAAAAGATAACAGGTCTAAACAACCAATCCGTGCTTCGTCGCAATGCTTATCAGTCCTTTTGTGAAACAACATTTTCCTGTGTCTTTGCTGCGCTGGAAGTTACCACTGTGCTCAAAATAAGATGCATATTTGCGGTTGCTGCTGCTGCTCGCAAATGCTTGTCATTCATCACAATAACAATTTCACATTTTTCTTTTCCTCCTACTTGTTCAGCGCGATCGTGTCCAACTTGCCCGAGGCAGCTATTTATTCCAAAATGCCTGTGGCTGTTTGTTCGCCAACCGATTCCCGTCCGTTACCGCAGTACGCTTCATCCCCCGCCACACGTTCGCAAACCCCCTTGTGTCACCCCATCTCGTTGTCTGCACTGATGAACAGTCACGACGGTCTGGATCTTTGCGGTATGGTTCCTCCGGACGAGATGGATGAAACCACTTTCTCCGAATTGGTTCCTTCGATTACCGAGCAAGTCACTAGCTCCCCGAACGGTAGCGGACTAGGTGATCGCCAATCCACGAATGAATTGCCCAACGGTTCGTGTGCTAGTCCAAACGAATCTCTCCAACCACCGAGCTCGCAGAACGGTCACATCCTTCTCGAATCATTAGACGATGGTGATCGACCCTGGCCCACGCCTCTTGTTGATCCGTCCAGTGAATGTTTGGAATGGGATGATTCGGGTCATCTTCGGGGTTTGCGTAAGTCCCGTTTGTCTGACTGATGTCCACTTTACATGCTGTTTTCTGTGTACCACACTCGATNCTCGATACATGCTTGTCGTCCTAATTTTATTCTGTTCCTCTAATCGATCTGACGGCTTTTATTCATGCGTTTTTTGTAGGAACCGTAAGTCAGCAAGGCGATGTGGTAAAACCACAAGCTATTGGAGGTCATCGGTTCATACGCCCTTTGGACGGGGTCAACTGTCCAAGGTCCCCAATACACTTTGATGCCCAGTCAAGCTGGTGACTATTGCTAATGATTTGTTAGTGCGGTTCATGTGTATCATCTTGGCTTACGGTTGAGTCATTTTTTGCCAAACGCCGGTGATTCATTGGCCTGTTGTAACTTCGTATGTTGACCTTTTGACGCCACAGTTTTGTGGCAAAACATTTCCACCATATGCAGGCAATGAGTATGGTTTCCTTAGCACAAAGCATAAAGCGTTTGAAGCTCTTGGTCGCATGGGACCATTCCCTTAAGTGAAAGGAAAGGACAACCAGTCACAGCCCACCATGGACCTTACTAAGCCTCCCGGAAAATTCAGATTCTTCGTTGATGTTCATAAAATGAATCCGTACGCTGCTAAGTGACTTACCGGACACCACTGCGATATCTGTTTTCATCAGTTTCAGTTTGTACAACCATTAACCACGCGTATTCGAGCGCCGGTTTTGGTTGGTGTCTTTTGGTTGTTCATTTGGTTGAAGAGTAGGAGAAGAAAGGAAAGTTGAAGTGGAGTCGAACAGAAAATGGAGAAGTTCAGTGGTCTAAGGTTGCAAAGAAATTGAGGAGATGCACGAACTCACTGTCTCACGACATCCAGCCATATCACTCAGTGTCTCGAACCATCGGTTAAGATCATTCCAAGGTCCCCAGCCAGGGAGCCTAACAGGACCCATGTGACCCAGTTTCCTGGTTAGGGTTTTCATACCCTCGTGCCAGGTCTTAGCTTCACCAGGCTCGGCTTTTTCCACTCGGTATCTGCTTCGACGAACATCGCTCGCCGTGGTAACCCAGTTGGTGACATGCGTAACACATGCCCCAACCAACGTAATCTATGGAGGTCGACCACTTGCTCCAGTGGGTGACCGCGGTTGTCTAAAACTTTGCACCTTATATCAGCGTTGTTCTTCGGGTGCCCCACCAGATTCGTGCAATGCTGTTTAGACAGTAATGTTCAAACACCGACTGTCTGTCTTTATCGCGTTTTCTTAATGACCAAGTTTCTGCACCGTATAGCAGGACTGGCCGAACTGTCGCGGCATACACTCGACCCTTCACAGACAGCCGGATATCGCGTTAGAGTGAGGCTGGGTACTGAACCAACCCAGTCTTGTAGTAACATTTTACATTTTGAAGGTGCGAAACGCATACCGAAAATAGCTACACTGGCATTCAACTTATCCAGAAATGCTTGCAACTTATCTGGATCTTCACTTAGTCGCACAATGTAGTCTGCATATTCTGGATCAGACAGCCACCTGGAAGTAAATCGATGCCACTATCCTCGCACGAGGATAGGGCGGTTTCCATAATCAGATCGATAGCAAAGTTGAATAAAAAAGCAGAAAGAGGGCAACCGTGGCGAACACCACTTTCCTTAGTGAACTCAAGCGAAAAGTGCCGGAAGCCCGGATTCGACTTCGGATGTTAGTATAAAGCGATCGTAATAGTGATAATGGTAATACTGCATATAATAAAATACATGCTCTCCTTTTCGCCTCCTTTCCCCGCGGTGCAATACAGTTGCCAGGCGCTTAAATCTACTGAGGGTGTAAGTAGGATGTTTAAGAGTTTGGTAGACTGCTATGCACAATTCGTAGCTATTGTCCCAAGAGGTTAAGGTATACATCAGGTATCGAACTTCAATAAGCCGCTCACAAAAGGTCCAACTGAGAACTAGCCTCTGATAACCTGAGTATCGTCGAGGATGATTGTTTTGGGTCACCCTCCCCTTGCATTTCACAAACAGCTCCTGTCCAACCAAGCGTCTCAAATAGCCATTTTGAGAAAGCCCTTGTCACTGCCTCCTCATGGTGGATACGTTTTCCCACCAAAATGTGTGGACGAAAAGCCAACATTCGAAACTATAATCGAGTTGGTGAACCACTGGCGGTTCACCTGAAGGATTTGGATAAAAACCTGGATTCCAAAGCAATCAAGAAGAGGCATACAAATCACATACACACGTACACACACTAAAACCGCCCTGTTTGTGGCAGTGGTCATTGACTCGACTGAGCATTAAGACGTATTGGACGTTTGACCCCGTCCAAAGGGCGCATGATCCGATAAACTGGATACCGACCCCCATTGGGTTGCTGTTTTCACACCGTCCCAGTGCCTTGCGGATCAGACTTTGACTAACCGAAGGCTGCAATTGTGGACAACCTGGGCAACCTAGTAGTATTCCGTCCACATACAAATCATGGAATTTTTTCTTATGAGTTTTGATTTGTTTTTATACACAGCCTGGCCTCAGGTGTGTAAAATATGTGTAACAGCAGAACTAGAAAGCTCTTTGGGACTGGTGTCCAGCACACAAAGAAAACTATACCTTAGTGTACAAATGCGATTTACTCCGTGACCCAGCACGCTATTATGGGAATGATTTCAGCCATCATGGATGCATAAATCCTTGGACTCCATCCACCAAACCACCCGAACGGTAAATAAGCTTCTGGGTCACTACCAGCAAGCATGCACTATTCTGCTGATTCGCAGTTTGCACTTGACTGTACAAAAGTAAGACGTACTCTGTTGGCGATAATCGCACATTCCACGTAGTTGTCCAAGACACGTGTTTCGGCTAGCTTTCTCAAACCGGTATTTCATTCTGTCAGTTGATTTGATCATTTTTTCGAGACAGAATCTCCTCATAACACCGTCCTCGTTGAGCACGACAAACTCGCCCTAGGTGATGTTCATGCATCACTTCGCATTCTACTAACACTTCTAATATTTCCAAAATCCAAACACAGGTTGATCTATTCGGTTGTGGTTCTTTTAACGTTGTATACAGGCAGACGGTGTGTGATGAAGCAACCTAGTTAGTAGCGCACAGCACAACTGTCACTTTGTACTAGACCAAAATTCATAAAAAGTGTGCATACATAATCTATGCAATGACCAGTTTGTTTCTCCTCCCCGAAATAAGCTCATTCCGTATGACCACCATACACACACACATTTTAACTTAGCCTGTACGCATGTTGAGTTTGACAGCGCTCAATAAAGTTCACTTCACTGTAAAAGAATGAGGATAAAAATGGACCATCGACCATCCTAGTTGCATTTCGTCCCACTAAATATCACTCCTGTCTGATTGATGCATGATCTGGTTTACAACTCTCGAGCCGAAGACTTGTCCTGCTGATCCTCCAGCATCGACCGTCGGTTCTCGCGATGGTAGAGCTCACCTCTTCTGTCGTCTATCACCTCCAGTTTGTCTAGTTTCGTCATATATGTAGATATTTAACAGCTCTGTATGGGAAGAGAAGATTACTGACCTTCGCGAAACGAATCCAATCGAAATAAACTTATTTACGGTAGCATGGCATGCAACATGTATTTCTTCGAAGATAAACCAACCTCTAATGTAACCTAGGACCGAAGACTGAATCTTCCATATCCGTCCATAAGAACAATGAAATGCGAAACAAGGACTGGTTGGCTTTGGTTTTGGACCTTTTTCTCCCAAATTTCCAATTATTTCACTTGTGTTGTGTTTGATCTTTTCACCATTCTAATTGGTTCCTCGTAGTTACACAAATAGCTGAGACTTTTAACGCGCAACCTCTGCTTAGTTCCGATGGCGCTGAGTTATTTTGTCTCAAAAAGTATATCTGTCGTCCTACACACCACACTTCATGTTTTTGTTTTTATTCGTGTTTGCACTGTTAACATGAGACCAATGATACTGTGCAGTTCCGCTGACTTGTTACATCTTGCTTTCTCTTGTAGCTTGTCCGAAGATCATTGGTGCCTTTCTGGGTTGATAAGTGAATGAGACTGGTTGTGTGGCTGTTTTCCGTTTCAGTAGCTCACCTAACCTAGCATGGCCTTGTGTGATTTGCCACTCCAAGTCCCCGGGCTTTTTATACTGGTTTCCATCACCGAACAGCGAGCCGACCTTCGTGACTTTCGGGTCAGCCTCATTTGCTCGGTATCATACAAGTATGTGTAATAAAAACAGTACCTCGTCATCTGCGAGGTTTTCTTAAGGTATACTTAACCGGTAAGGGATAACTCATAGCATCCTATGGGTGCAGGGAACCAGAAATAAGAACATTTCGATTCATAACTGATCTGACAAGTGTTTCCCTCAAACCGCGTTCTGCAACAGCTCTGTCGATGTGTATGAGAAGCTGCTCTCTGATGTAGCTATCTCGCAAGCACCAAATGGTGTAGAATTGTTTGTGCCTAAACTCAGCACAAGATCAATGCAACTGAATGACAACTCCTGTTTTACTTTTTGTGTTTCGAACTGCTTTAATTGTTATGGTATGCATATAAAACTATCTCAATCCATCATTCATTCATTTATCACCTCTTAGCTGAAACCAGATCCGGATCGATTGAAAGTCGATTCGATCGTTTCTCGTTGCCGCTGGCGGATGGCCACAGTAGTCATCGTGGTGCTCGTTCTGGTAGTGGAGCAACAATTCTTTCGGGACTGGAACAAATTCCGGCGGATAGATCGCATCGTTCCTCATTTACCTTGGCCGCGGAAGCTGCCGAGGCTCTCGTGGCGAGCGGAAGTGGACGACACGGTACTCGGCATTTATCCTACAGTAGTAGTACCGGTAACAAGCTCACCTCGGATTACACGCCCGAGAAAGCTTTGCTGCCTCGGAATCTAGATCGTCCAATCGCTCATTCGCATAATCTCATAGCAAAAAAGGTGAGTGGCACGTGACTCTGTGGTTTTGATTCAGAATTGACCCTTGCTTGATCTATCCCTTGATTATATATTATATTATATTTATCACCGGTTTGCGAGGAAGCTGGGTGCTGCCGCCGCCAAAAACAACAGTAACAGAGAAAATGGGGTTTGGAATATAAACAAAACGAAAAGGTGGTCAAACAGATGCACTGAATAACAATATTTTTGCATGTTTGTTTCACCGTACACTTTTCGATATTTTTATGTTTGTTTATTGTTTTGACTTTTCCCGGCATGGCTCCAATTATATCGTTTCAATCTGCTCATTCAATGGTTCCGATGCCCTGTACTTTCTGCTCACTAATGACACAACGACTAGTACATGTCGTACTCTGTATATTGATCATTTAGGCTTCCACGTGTCTCTACTCGATTTATTCTTACCTTCAGGCTTTTCGCAATTGTAGTTTTATTCACACAAAAGTAGGCGTTTGGCTTTGTGGCAGAATGCACAGCGCTTTGTTGCCGTTTTTAAAGAAACTTTCGCCTTCACCGCCCACATAATGTCGCGTTTCACTCGCTTGTGGAGTTAAGACTTCCGTGTAGAGAGGTGTTAGACTCAAAATGAGACGACAGTTCTATCAGTGTAGCTGGTTTGGTTCTTGCCTTTCGTGTGTGTGTGTGTGTATGAATGATGTTTTAACACAGATTAAATTATGACGTACACTGTGCATATGTTTTGGGTTTTCTCGACCCGCTTTCTGCACACATTCTCACCGATTATAATTGCTTCAAAACATTGCATTCTTGTTAGTCCCTTTTTCTTCTTCTTTTCTCTTATTGCTTACGAGTTTTCAATGCTTTCTTATGAACGCCGGTTAGAATGTTCTGTATGCCGGTTTTTCTTTTCATCTTTACAGATTGTCCACCATTTCATACCGATATTTGTGAACATAAAATAGTCTGTTGTGCGATTTGGTGGGACACAGATGCATGGCTGTGTGTGTGTGGCCTTTTTTATTTGGATTGAATCACTCCGTTTCAATTTATTTTAGCTCTCTAGAGTTCTGAAGAAAGTTTTCTGTACTTTATAAATCTGAGAATATCCATTCCATGCGGAAATCAATCGATAGGAAAGTGTGTCTGCATTCAGCCTCATTTTTCACAGCTCCTCCCTCCCGCCTGCACTCTTTGGCGATGATCATTGGTGTTGATTTGGTCGAAAAATAGAAATAGGTAAATGAAAAAGGTTGTAAACTGAGATCAGTACGAGGATAGAAATACTGGATGCACGTTCACCAACTATGTGCAGAAGTTAAGAGGATTTACGAGCATCGCCGCATCCGACACTCACGTGTGCCACCCAGTGTTTCTCAGAAGCAGTTAATCTGATCTAGCGGTCCCCGACCAGGAAGCGACCAGTCTCTTGGACATTCATCGTTCCAAGTTATACTTTGACCATCTTAGACATACTTTCACCCCACTCGTTTGGTGACATACTCGAGCCGTCGCAATCAGCATATATCACCACGTAACCTTCATCACCGGAACTTTGCACCGAGTCGTTTAGTTTCACTTTCTTCTCTTTTCTTTCCAAATGGACCCACTCCACCACTGTACACGTTTATACTTTATGTATATTCTAATTTCGTTTCATGGTTTTTTCCCTGTCCGACGAGGACTGTGTTTGCTCGGTTGCTCCGTAAGAGCAGTGTAGTCTTAGCTGCGTTCGAACACCAATGTTTGCCGTCCTTGTATGTCGTTTTAATCTATGCACCTTCGAAAATCACGCGATCTTTATCAGACACACACACGTGTATATGCATCACGAAGAATGTGTGGCTAAATGTGTACTAAGCTAAACATTAAACTGCGACACAGCACCTCTGAGAAACTACGGTCAAGTATCCTTGTGATTTCGATCAAATGTGACCGTAGTTTGTTTGGATTGTGGTAGTCTACAAATTCAGAATGTCATGTGTATAGGTTATTATTCTATATACGTATACTCTTGTTGCATCAATGTCTTATGGTGTAGGCTTAGTGACAAAGATCTCTATATTGTATCTATCACTATGGATCTCCGAATACTGGTTTTCGTGAAAATGATTTGCATCACTTCGCTTTTCAATACCCTAGATCCCGTACACTATAAAATGTCACTTCATTTGGTTACTCGCACCTAAACTTTGTCGTGCATGCGTCATTCTGTTCGTAATTTCGGACTTCACATGACCGCGTGGTCTGCTTCTGTACCCGTGAATGCATGCGTGCCTACTCCAATTTTTGTCGACTCGGATGCGGTGCATCTACTCAATACCAACACAACTTGTCAAAATCCAGCTGGCATGAACATGCACTCAGTCTTACCACATGGACGGTAGTGCTTGTGCGCTCGAACCCGAAGTGGAGTTCATCCACGGTATCGTATCGCGCACTTTCTTGACGAATCCTTGTCCCCATCATCATTCCTTTGTGGTTCACTCTTGCTGATGGCATGTGGCCACCACAAGCACAACCGATATACGTGTGTCTCGGTCACTATGTCTTCGCGCTGTGTAGACGTGAAAGAAAATGATTGCAGGTAGCAACCATTGTCGGAGCCTGCAAATATGTCTCATTGAACTTAACGCGCTGGTGTTAGTAACGGTGTGTGTGTGTGTGTGTGTGTGTGTGTGTGAAAGAGAGAAAGAAGTTTTTGAATTGCCACCACCATCATCTCAAGTCCAACTTTGCTGAATGTCACGTGTGTATAACGTACACTGGGTAAATAAAAATATGCCCTGTGGATTCTGGCCTGCTCTCAAGGGTCTATAGGATCCGTAAGTCCTTGTCCGTCGAAAATATGTGATAAATTCCAATTATATCGATAGGATAATCCGCCGCTTTTGGTTAAACATCAAAGACTTAAGTAATCAACTACTACCCGTTGCTCAGCGCTATACACTTGGTGTGTTTTATCCACATCAATCAGTATTGGGCAAATCGCAGTGCCCCAAACGACAAAAAGTTGCCCGAAGATTTGTGTCTACTGGAGTCTAAAAATATGTGTTTTACAGGTATATAAATGCTCTCTTGTACGTAATCTATACGCAGTGTAGCCTTTTGTTTTCCAAATGTTTATAGGAATCATGAAATGCACACACGAAATAGCAACCAAAACCGGCGCACGATAATGCATGGCTAATGGTTGTACAAACTGAAACTTAGCTTAGAGTTTCGTTTGTATAGATAGTCAAAGTTTTTGGCTTGTACAATTTTACAAAAGTCCACTCCCACGTGCTTATACTTGACCCAGTCTCGTTCTTTATCATTTAAAATGGGCTGAAAAACGCCTTCTGTCATTCAGGTTAGCAATATCATCCACCAATTTCACATCAGCTCCGTATGTTTGGGACAAAGCTAGATGTCAGAGTAATCAGTGAACTTGATGACACTTGATAGAGGTTGTTCCTCCGTATTGCACTCTCATGAGAGTGATGACGATGATGTCGTAACCTGCGTGTGGGATTGTCATAAGTCCCAATCGGTTTGGCAGTACTTGTGCAACATCCGCGAGGAACAACAGCTCCCTTAGACACGGAGATCCAGATCGAACGCTTTTTTGTGTATCCGAATCACCACTAGTATGTTTCTGTGGTGTTTCTACAGTTCACAACACTGCGCATTTTATCGACTTGCAATATCGTCTAGAATGATCTCGTCAGCAAAGCAAGTATGCGTTTGGAGCCATTTTTTGTATATGCCGCGGATTTTCTGGTACACTACAGCGAATTTCGCGATTGCGATGATCTTACCTTCACCCGGGTCCCATGTCTCTTTGATTTCCGTTCGTTTGTGACGTGTATTTTAGGATACACGGTTAATCAATTCTGTAAATGTTACCTCTATTATCGAATCTGCTAAATTCGAGGGCAATTTGTTGACCGAGGTAATGGACGAATTACCAGGAGAATCCAGTTGGTGTCTTTTTCCAAATTCTTTATCTCCTGCCTGTAATTTCTTTCAGAACCTTTTGCATCCCGTGTTAAGATTTTCGTGTACTATCCCTCTTGTACTTCCATTATAGAACAAAATGCCTGTTTGTTGTTCGACGCCTGCTCAACGCGTGTCCAATGGCCGAATCCATAAGCACTCGAATGGTTTTCATCGGTCCACCGAGTCTGAGAATGTTTGGCCCACTCTAAGCGAGTCGCCAACAATCCCGATTCGACGGATCCGCCAGACTAATGTAGCACCATCTGGCTCACCTGGTTGCACCACCGCCGTGACTATTCCCACTTTACTGAACCAGCAGTCTCATCCAATTTCGACGGGGAGTACTGAAACCATGCACAGTTTGTTCTCTAACGCGCCGGTAAACGGAATGATCTCTCAAACAAACACTTCTCGATCGTTGGGTGATTTAGTGGTAAGTCAGATCTGATTTAACTCATCCGCACAGGTTCTACCATGTTACTGCTTCATCCTATCCCCCCCGGCTACAAAACTGGGTGTCGCCGAGTTCTGTTTTGAAACTAAACTGTCAGGAATTAGCTGAAGTTGACTGCTTCTCGTACTTAGATAGCTGAGTGACCAACGACGGTAGCGCATAAAAGGAGATAACCGCCCACATTTTCAAGGCACGAGCAGCGTACGCAGGACTAAAACACCTGTGGCGGCGACGTGACGTGTCACTAAAGTTGAAACGATGCGTAAACTGCGCCACCGTACGATCTGTTCTACTTTACGGTTGCGAGACCTTGAATTTGCGGGTAGAAGACACTCGTCGTTGAGTAGTGTTCGACAATCGATGCTTACGTAGTCTGGACCAAGTGGGATGGAGTGAGCGGGTTAGTAACTTAGAAGTAAGCAGATGACGTGGAGACGAGCCATGAAGAAATGCAGAGCGATTAGGTAGAGTACGTGTCTCTCGTCTTCCGGGTTGGGGTCCAAAAGACTCCGAAACCGCATGGTTGGAGACACTGAAGGTCATGGCTGCGAACCAACAGCGATGGCAAGCTTGCTGTCACATCTTATCACACCAGAATGCTAGAAATTGTATGTATGCACAGTTGAATTGTGTACTTTGCTGATCATAGAGGTTCGATTTCATTTTCCGTCCCTAAAAGTAGGTTCAATCCCTGTTCTCCTTACACATTATTACTTACCTTGCATGCAATATGAGTTTGGCAGCGATCAGTGAATTTCGATTCACTGTATTATGCTGTACAATGATGATGATGGCTTGAAAGACGAGCCCTTCTGTATCCTCAAAAATCGCCACTGTTTATTTGCTACTGCCTGTTCGAAGGAGCAATACTCAATCGCTATTCACGGTTAGCGCTTCCAGTGGGATTTTCTCTTATCCGCGTCATGGAGACATAAACGACAAAGTAAGCTTGTGCTGACCATAGACGTTTAGGAGCCTGCGACTTCGCGGAAAGCTTGAGTGTACACACACTACAATAGGGATGCTTTTTGTATTTTACCAACTGTGTTGTGGCGTTTTGATTGCGGTACACGACGTTTGATACGTATTGCGGGTGAGTTCCAATGAGAGCGAAATTCGACTCTCAATTGCTTCCCGAGTGATGCGAGAAGTTGGAGTTTGAGGAATGATCATCAGTGAGCAAAAATGTGACGGTTTGAAAACCGAGAGAAGAAACCACGAACTCAGTTACATTCTGCCCCTTGTAACGAGAAACTATTCACCGCCTATTTTCACTTCAGGGTTCGATGAATGACAGTTCCTATTTGGACAGTGATGTGATTGGTCGAAAATTTGAGGGTGAGTATTGTTCCATGTGTGTGTGTGTGTGTGTGTGTGTGTGGATAATTTTGTTGATTCCATCATTTTGTATAAGTTTGATGGTTCTATTTATAGACCTTTTATCCATTCTGGTAAATCTATTCAAGAAAAGAAACTTGGGATTAAATAAAAAAATAACCTTACTGCAGAGCCAATGTGTTTTTTGACAACCGAGACAAGATGCTCGAGCACTGGTTCGCATCACTCTTATTGTTATCTTCAAATCGGTCGAATGTGTCGACTCTAGGAATTTCTTTTGGTTTCAACGATTCCGCTCATTTCATTTTCGCTACTGTTCTCACGTTCTTGTGGTTCGATAGCACAGTTATCTTTCCTGTGAGAATTACGGATATCACCTCTTAACGACGACAACGACGTAATATTGTGATTGATTGCTTCAGTTCAGTTCAGTTCTTATAACGGATAACCATGCACTTTCGTGTATCGGTTTTGGTTGCACTGTTATTTTCTCACAAAGAAAGTGGCCGCTTTGCTTCTCAGTTTTACCCAGTCGCTCTCATAAATTACCCACCCTCCCTTCGGGGACCATTCAAATAGGATTCTCAGCTCTTCTGCCTCG